GCATCTGTGAATCCGACTCCCCTGGGTGGGGCCCTGCAGGCTGGCCAGGATCACGCCTGCTGCCCGGTTCACTGTCACACAGCACCGGTGCTGTCCCCAGGATGAAGACGCTGGACGGGAAGATGGGCCACGGCGCTCCCCTTTCCCCATCGCCCTGGTGCAGAGAAGAAAGCAAGAGTGTGCATGGGAGGGGCAGGGGGGAGGTTACTCGGTCTTTAAACCAATTTTCTTTCCGTGAGATTTCTACATGGCAGCTTGGCCAGGAAATCTCTTCTTCGGGGGGTTATTTCCTCGCTGGCGTATCAGCGAAGGGGCTGTGTTCTCGTAGGGTGTGTACATGCCATGTTTATTATTGCAGGTTGTGTGTGGCTACGGGGTTGCACCCACAGGTTGCTGGTGCCTGCTGGGCCGGTTGTGCTGATCGGTGGGGGGGGGGCTGTGGGTCCTGGCGTGTGGCTTGCACACACGGGCTGCAGGAGCGGGCTGAGATGCATGTCGCAGGTTGCTCCTGTGCGTGGGGACGGGTTCTGCACACTGGCTAGAGGCTTGGTTGCCCTGAGCACCAGGATGAGGAAACAGCTGAAATGACTAAAAATCGGACTTTAAAGGTGCTGAAAAGTGCCTGGTAAGTTTCCAAGAAGCTCTGGCGTTTCTTTCGGTGCTGAAGGCCCATTGAATAGTGGCTGGTGCTCGCAGCTTGGGGGGACGGAGGGGAGCCTGGAAAATCCCCTGCCTAGGGCAACCTTGCAAAACAGCCATCAGTGCTCATCAGCCCAGGCACAAAGTCTGCTTGGCCGCCCTTCCCGGGGGAATGGGAATAATGGGAAACAGAAGGTCTTTTACCTGCACGTGCAAACAAATAATTATGGATACAAACAGCGAGAGGTACACGCACACACAAACACACGCACACACACACATGCACACCCAGATGCACCCACACGCAGCCAAGGCCAGTCGAATTCTGCAGGGCTCTGTCAGACAACACCACTTCTCTTCTCTGTGTGCGTAACAGCCGCAGCAGCAGGTTCTGACGTCCTGCTCCCCTGTTCTTTATCAGTTCGTGGAAACAGGATCTCTGCTTCTCCATGAGTCACCCGCTCCCACTGCTCATTCCTCTCCGATGACCTCACCCGGTGACATCACCACTGGCTCTGCGATGTCACCGAGCTGTGGGAGCTGGGAAGCTCGTCGGAGACCCGGGGCCCTGGTTGCCCAGAACACGGGGGAGAGGATGGAACGTGCCAAACGCAGCAGCCCGGTTCTGGGGGAAGGCAGAAGAGTTTCTAAATCAAACGTGCCTCTGAGTTCAATTTGAACAGGCCCACCAGGCCCCTCCGCAGGGGCGGAGCTGCACACGGAGCCTCCTGGGGGACTGAAAGGAGAAGGCTCAGGGGCCCAGCATGCAGAGAGCTGAGCCCAGCCGTGCTGACCTGCCCCTGCATGAACCGGGCTCTTCGTTCTCCGGGGTCCCTCCCGCAGGGATTGCAAACGTGGGTCCTGCCGTTCCCTGGCAAAGCTGGCCCAGGATGGCTAGTTCCGCAGGTTATGAATCCCGTGTTACTGCAATGAACAATCATCCCCCGAATGCATCTTTCAGTGTGGTTTATGAATGGGGGGGGAGCAAAGGAAATCGCCCTTTCTTTCCTCGATCCTTCCCACGTCCAAACACGCCGGGCCGGCAGGGAAAGGAGAGCCGCTGGGCTCCCAGGGGAACTCACCCCGGTGTAACTGTGGAACTCCACGGAGTTACTGAGAGCCAAACTGGGCCCTTAGCTCCGGGGTGGGGGGCAGCCCCTCCCCCAGGGCCAGGGCCACCTTGGGCATCTTCAGCCCTGGGGTCGCCACCCCTCTCCAGTGCTCCCTCGGCCCTCTCGGCCGCCCTTCTGGGCCAGCCTGTCTCAGGTCCAGGGCCAAAGCTGTCTGCCGACGGCAGGAGACAGCTCCAAGCCCAGCCAGACCTCTCGAATGGCTGCGGCTTCCTCCCCACCACTCAGTTCCATGGAGCCCCCCAGCCACGGAACTGGGGGAGCGGGTTCAGCTCCGGTGTCACCCCGGTTCAGTGAATTCAGCAGAGTCGCTCTGGATTTCCCAATGTCACAGAGCAGAGCCGGGTCCCAGGGATGTGCAGGCAGCTCCAGCACAGCTTGCCTGACCCAGGGGTTAGAGAAGAGCAGGGGCTAGTGGTCAGATCACAGGCCTGGGCCCCAGACACTCCTGGGCTTTCACTAGAGCTGCCCAGCACGCGGTTGACCAGACGTGTTTTCCTTGCACTGCGGCGGTTTGTCAATGCTGGAAAGTTTCACAGCGACGTCGTGATTTGGGGGAATGCGAAGGGTTCTCATCTGAGCTGAGATGGGGCCAAGCAAAGCCCAGAGCCGGCTGCCGACTCTCCCCGAGTTGCTGAGCTCTGGCCGGGCCCACTGCAGAGAGAGGTTTGGGTCACACGGCTCTAGTCCCCCCTCCCCCTAGTTCTGTGTGAGTGGGTCAGACCCAGGTTTCTGCCCAACCCTGCTCCAAAAATCCTCAAGAGACTCTAGCCTTATTCTGGGGCTTGTGAGGAAGATCCCCAGTGCATGAGCGCCCCCTCCTGGCCCCACGGCGGCTGTGACAGGGCCACTCCTCACCATGGGTTCCCCGCGCGCCTTTAAACCTCCTCTGCTCATTCCACATGGGCAGCGTCACCCCAGCACCTCTGTCTTTATGGGGTTGGCTTGCGGCTGAGCCAGTCAGCTCCCCCCTTGGGATTTCAGGGCTGCCGGACGCTCCTCTCTTGCTCGGGGGCTGCTCGGCGGGGTGTAAGCATGGGGGCCACACCGGGGCAGTTTTCCAAGTAGCCATGGCTCCAAGCGCTCCCATGGGGGGGTTGAACGTGTGGCATCCAGATTACAAAGTGCTTATCCACCCCCACCTCCCCCCGGTGATCAATTCAGCAGAATGAGGGTTGGACGGGCTGGGAGATGGAACCTCAGCCAGGTGGGGGCGAGGCCTGTCCCCCTCTGTCTTTGGGGCAGCTTGGCTAGCATCAGGTTCCCGTGTGCAATTCACCAAGAGAGAGCCCGGGGTGGGGGGTGGGGAACGAGTGGGCATCTGCTGCACTGCACAGGGTGGGAGTGCTTGGCTTGTGGCCTGGGGCTGGAGCCACCCCACGGGGGAACGGGAACCGTAGCCTCCCCTGCTGACAGCCCACTGGCACCCGTGCACCGAGTCATGAGCACCCTTGAACGGGAAGCCCCTGGCACAGCAACAGAGATGCTGGATCCCAGTGCTGGGATACTGGGGCGAGAGGGGACGGCACAAGAACCCAAATAGAATTGCCCCCCCCATCTCCCTGGGGATCCCGCTCTGCCCATGGAGAAGTGCTCTGACTTTCCACACAACGCCCCCCCCGGCCCCGCTCAGCATCTCCTCCCCTCCATCCTCCTCTAGTGGGGCCTGGGCCACAGGGAGCAGAGAGGCCGATGAGCCAGCCGCAGCCTTGGCTGGGCCCTTAGCTCCGGGCTGCTGACAACCCTACTCGGGGCGTGAGGTGCCATGTGCCACAAACCCCCAGTGTCAGCAGGGAGGCCCCGGAGTTTGGCCTCCGTCTGATTCCCAGCCAGTGAATGCAACAGCCTCTCGAGAGGGGCCACAGGCGGAGGGCGCTGGGGCTGCAGGATTTGCCTTTTCACCCACTTGGCTGCCCCAGGCCCCAGCCAGAGGCCAAGCAGCGCGGATACTGGAGGTGTAGTTTGGCTGCTGGACAGGGACGACTGGCCTGGACACGGCCTGTGGGGGTCAGTGGTGACTGACCCTGAGTGCAGGGGACTTTGAAACACAGCCCCTTGGCACATCCATTCCCAGCAAGTGGTTTCCACGATATTCGGAGAGTCCCGAAATCTCTCCCAGCCGGGCTCCCTGCACCCCGAGGAGGGGCAGCGTTCCTCTCAGCTGGGCCTCCATGTCCTGTCCAGGGGAGCCCCGGGAATGTGCATTCCCCTGGGTTAGCACCCGGATGTGCCAGTCACACGCGAAGCAGAAACAGACTAGCAGTTTCTTCTTCCTTCGAAGCCAGAGCCACTAGACCCGGCAACCTGCGCACACAGGAGCTGCTGAGTGAAAATACCCACGGGGCATCTCCAGGGAAAGTGGAAACAATGAAGGAGTTTCCTTCCAAGTGGGTATTCACCCATGAAAGCTCATGCTCCTATACGTCTGTTAGTCTATAAGGTGCCACGGGACTCTTTGTCGCTTTTTACAGACCCAGACTAACACGGCTCCCCCTCTGATACTTCCCAGCCTAGCTGGTCCTGAAATGGTTTCCCAGCATGAGGGACAAACAACAAGAGGGGGTTTGGCAGAACGCAGTGTCCAGGGCTGGCAGAGGGGTGGTGGGAGCAGGGGGGTGAGTGCAGGGTGGTGGGTGCTGGGAGCAGGGTGCTGGGTGCTGGCAGTGGGGTGGTGGGAGCAGGGTGTTGGGAGCAGGGTGCTGGGTGCTGGCAGTGGGGTGCTGGGAGCAGGGTGCTGGGTGCTG